GAGCTGGCCCAGGCCAAGGGGGCAGGGTGGAAAAAGAGCAGAGGGGACAAGTAGCAGGTGACTGTGGGAACAACCCACAGAGGCCACAGGCAAGACAGCTGCGGGGCAGGGTGAGGGCTGCAGACATTAGCATCTTCAGACATGCATGTGGTGTGCTTACATGCATATTGTAAAACACTCATACACATAAAAATAACTGGCTGGGTGTAGTGGCACACGCCTTCAATCCCAACACCCTGGAAACATAGGCAGGTGGATGCTGTGAGATGGAGGCTAGCCTGACATACATAGCGAGTTTCAAGCCAGTCAGGGTAACACATAACATAGATCTTGTCTCAAAAAATGTTTAATTGAAAAAGAGACCAAGGACGGGAGAGATGGCTCAGAGGTTAAGAGCACTCCCTGCTCTTCCAGAGGACCCAAGTTCAATTCCCAACAACCACATGGTGGCTCACAACCATCTGTAATGAGATCTAGTGCCCTCTTCTGGCCTGTATGCATACATGGAGACAGAATACTGTATACATAATAAATAAATAAACAAATAAATAAATCTTAAAAAAGAAAAAGATGTCAAAATATATAGATAATAAATACATAAATGTTTAAAATAAACAAATAAATCAAAAAATAAATAAAATGTTGAAGAACAGAAGTGCCATTCATGTGGAAGTTACTAACCTTGAGGGCTGGAGAGATGGCTCAGAGGTTAAGAGCACTGACTGCTCTTCTGGGGTCCTGAGTTCAATTTCCAGCAACCACATGATGACTCACACCCATCTATAACGAGATCTGGCGTCCAGAACACTGTCTATATAATAAATAAATAAATCTTTAAAAAGAAAGATACTAACCTTGAGGTTACCTGCCACACAGCAGTTGGGAATCAGCAAAGGGCAGTCCATCCCGAGTAAGCCTAAAGCAATGAAAGCCTAGAGGGAGTTGGAGAAGAATGACAAGTGAAAAGGGAAATGGTTGACTACCTGTAGGTGACTCTGGGAGATGATCTCTTCCCACAGCAGTAAGATGCTAGGTCCAGTCAGGGTGTGGTGGCACAAGCCTTTAATTCCAGTACTGTGGAAGCAAAAGCTGGTAGCTGTGTGACTTTAATGACAACTATCTCAAGAAGAAAGAGAGAGAGAGAGAGAGAGAGAGAGAGAGAGAGAGAGAGAGAGAAAGAAAGAAAGAAAGAAAGAAGAAGATTCTCATTTATCTCCCTCCAGCTAAAGAACCAGCCACCTCCACAACTGCACAAATACCAATCAGGGAAAGGACTGACTGGACACATCTGTCTTCAGGGGATAGATGGCAATGTTTGAAAATGGACTACTGTGCAGAAGCCTACAGGAACTGAATGACTGTCTCAGGGAAGCAATTTGGGAGAGAGTCAGAGGAAACCTACTAGTTCTGGGCTGGGGCTGGGACTCATCAGCGTGTTGGGACAAGCTGGGCCTGTGTACTCAGAAGATGCACTATGAGAACTGTAGGGAGGGAAGGCTCCTAGTTCCTACCTTTACTTCTAGAAAAGCCAATGGCTTTCTTATGGTTACTGTCCCAATTATGTCTCCCCCAGGTGACACTAGATCCAGGAACTCAGAGTCTCAATGATTGATGGCCAGACATGTGCTCCTGGGTCAGAACAGTATTCTCCTGGTGTCTCCCTGGATAGTAACCTTGTGTGGGAAAGCAGTAAGTGGTTAGCTGCCAATCTTCCTAGACACACCCAAATGTACATCTTCAACTCCTCATAGTGAAAGAAGTGGTATGCTGCTACACTTTTTCTTTTGGAACCTTCAGCAAAGGAGTTCTGATGCCTCTTATTGAGGCATGGCCCAAGGCATTGTGACCCTCCTCTAAATGGAAGTAGTGGTATTGCCACTGTCCTTGACCAGTTTACAGTCTCCTTGGGAACTTAAGTTATCTTCCCCGGGAGTTTAGAGTGAGTGGGGGAGAGCCCAATTAGCGATGACGACAGCAATCACCTACGGAGGCGTTTAGTTGGCCTCTTGAAAGCAAATGAGCACCTATCATGGTGCTCTTTGTGGGCTCTTCGGTGTAGGTAGAAGCGTTGTGGGTGGGTCTCCGGCTCCAACCTCCCTGCTGACAAAGGAACATAGAGTCCCAAGCATGACGCTTTGCGCCATTTCCTGTAGCCTTGAGGAAAACCAGAACCAGAGATCTGCAGCCCCATAAACTAGAGAAAGAATATCTGCGTGACAGCCTAGTTTTACTGAGAAAAACTCCTTTTTTCAAGTCTTAGTATGTTGTTAGAATATTAGTTACAGCAAAGTCGCCGAACGACTCCCCGCCCAAAATGGCCAAACGGAAGCTGGTTTCTCTTGCCTATGTGTCGAAACCCCATTCGCTAACGCGCTGCTCCCAATTCCGGTGTCCAGTCACCAACGCGCTCTGCGTAAATTTCGGGCTGGCCTCGTGCACATGCGCAAAGCGTCGCTGCATCTATGATCCGGGCATCTGATAGAGTGTCGACACCACCCAATGGCTGGGACTCTATGGTTACTCTGTGGAAGATAGGCCGCCTATATAAGGCATGTGCAGGCGTGGGAGCGTCTCTTTTCCTCCAGCGCGGTGAGTGAGTTGTTTCGTTAGTGTGTTCTCGGTTCTTTCAGCGTTTGTTTTTGGGACTCTTAGATTTATTTTGGGTTTCTATTCTTATTTTGGCCGTTTCATTACAGCTACCGACGATCCTTTTGTCATCATGGGTCGCCGCCCCGCCCGGTGGTGAGTGCTAAATCTATATACTATTTTTCCTCCTGTAAATACGGGGAAATGATTACATTTCTTCCCAAAGACATTTTTTGGGGGCGGACCGTCCGTCACTCAGCGACCCTGAACTAAAGACCGACCCCAGGGGTTCTTTTAATACTTCACTGGGAGCTTTGTCTTTTCAAGCTTGTGGGAGGGTTGACTCAAGACTAGTTTAAAACGCTTGTGTAGAACTATAAGCATGTGAGTATGCATCCAATCTTCTGTCTCTCAAACCTTGTCACACAGATTCCCATGTCCTTTTGGTGCCTTCTGTATCCATCTTTGTTATTTCTTGGCCTTGTGCATTGTGGTTTTAACCGGACACCAAGGGGCGGCCAAGAGGTTGTAGGCGCCACCTAGCCGCGTGCCTGCAGAGGGCGCCATATTCTCTTCACGTGGTTGAGGCGGATTTCATGTCACATGCTCAGAAGACTTGAGAAATTGTGCTTTCTCATCCTATTCTGATTAGGGGAGATAGTAGTGCTTAGTTTCTGTCTTATGTGGCAGCCTGTTTAATATTACCTTAGAGTTGGTTTCTGGTAATGGAGACTGAATTCAGAGTTGGTCTTGTCCCTTTCTCACTACTTATGCCTTACTGTATTTAGTTGCTACACCTAATCACACTTGACTCTCCTGCAGTTACCGGTATTGTAAAAACAAGCCGTACCCAAAGTCTCGCTTCTGCCGAGGTGTCCCTGGTAAGTAGTGACAAACTTGCAAATTGAATCTGTGGTGCTGGCTCATTTCTCACTTCATGGACACTTAATACCACGTGTTTTCAGATGCAAAAATCCGCATCTTTGACTTGGGACGGAAGAAGGCAAAAGTTGATGAATTCCCACTTTGTGGCCACATGGTGTCAGATGAATACGAACAACTCTCTTCCGAAGGTGAGATCCCTTTTGTTGATGAACTTTTCTTCCTGTGTATACATTAATCTGAGATTTTCTGCGTGATTTATTCAACTACCGACCACCATCTCCAGTCCTGCCTCTACACTGTCCTGTTTTAAGTACTGTATTTGTCCCCACTCAGCTCTGGAGGCTGCCCGTATTTGTGCCAACAAGTACATGGTAAAGAGTTGTGGCAAGGATGGCTTTCATATTCGAGTGAGGCTTCACCCTTTTCATGTCATCCGAATCAACAAGATGTTGTCCTGTGCTGGGGCTGACAGGTAAGGTGGCAGTTTGCACCCTTTTTCATAATCTGGCCTTAATGTTGGGTTTGCTTCAGCAGTCAAGGTAGATCGTCTGGGAAGATGGCTTGGCTCTGGCTAGGAGCACTTGACTCATGTAGAAGACCCATGTTCAATTCTGAGAGCACTAGGCACACTAGTGGTGCCCAGGCATATAATTATTAAAGCTTATCAGTCTCTGGTCCTGAAGTAAAGAGGGAAACTTGTGCTCTTCATATTCTGAACATGACAGTCATCTGCTAGGGGCACGTAGTTGGGTAGCTTTTGAAGAGCAAGTAATGACTTCCAAATGACTTTGGGGGATTCCCCCCCGCAACTAATTAAGCCGACCAGGTCCCTTTCCCCATGGGGGCCTGGTGTGCAGTGGTTGCAAACAGCAGCCTCCTTGGTAGTGTATGCAGCCTGTTACCTGTATGGGCTGCTCTAAGGGACCTTGGAGACAATTTGATCTCAATGATGTCTTTGATCTCAATGCTGTCTCCAATGTAGGCTCCAGACAGGTATGCGTGGTGCCTTTGGGAAGCCCCAGGGCACAGTGGCCAGGGTTCATATTGGCCAGGTCATCATGTCCATCCGCACTAAGCTGCAGAATAAGGAACATGTGATTGAGGCTCTTCGTAGAGCCAAGTTCAAGTTCCCTGGCCGCCAGAAGGTGGGTGATATTCACTTCTGCTTGCTTTTATCAGTTCAGAGACTGATCCTTGTCACTGAGTAATTTTTTGTCTTCTGTCTCTTAGATCCACATCTCAAAGAAATGGGGCTTTACTAAGTTTAATGCAGATGAATTTGAAGACATGGTTGCTGAGAAGCGACTGATTCCTGATGGCTGTGGGGTCAAATATATTCCTAATCGTGGTCCCCTGGACAAGTGGCGAGCCCTACACTCCTGAGGGCTTTCTCGGTGCTCTCCTATACCCTACCAAATCATGTTCAGTAATAAATCTCACATCCAGCCTGCTTATGTATTTGTATCTGATTCTTAAGTCCATAGGGTTTGGTTTAACAGAGCAAAGTAGTGAGTTGAGCATACAAAGAGTTAAAATTAGTGACTTTATTGGGATATTTTGCCTGATATCCCTGACAGCCATGTAATTAAGTATATGAATACTAAGTGCGCCATACAATAGATATGTGGCCCAGAGACAAGGCTAGCCCATATAGTTTAGCCATTTGAGAAGCAGGATTAGCTACGTCTAGAAATTTGGAACACTTTATCTACCAGAGTTTTTGTAAGCTAGTGATAAATAAGTTCGTGTCTGAGGTTTTTTTTTTAGTGTGAGTTCATTTTCTGTAAGGTTTCTAGGACACTTAGACTTCCTATCTGGCTCTTGATGTCAGTTGTATGATTTTTTTTTAATCTTATGATTTTTTTTATGTGCATTGGTGTAAAGGTGTCAGGTCCCCTGGAACTGGATTTTCAGTTGTGAGCTGCCATATGGGTGCTGGGAATTGAACCCAGGTCCTGGAAGAGCAGTCAGTGCTCTTAACTGCTGAGCCATTTCTCCAGCCCTAGTTGCATAAATCTTAAGATGTAGTCAGAGTTCTTTAGCTCATTCCTAGTCCTGGAACCTCCTTTGTGTACCTGACTACCTGAGTTGGAGTTGCATACAGTAATGAATCCTATTTCAAAAAGGAATCAACCCCAGGGCATTGGATATAGTAGGTAAGAACATTGCCAGCCCTGTCTCCCTCTTGAAATAGCAAGCAGCAGAAAGCCTATATAAAAACAGAAGGAAAAGCTGTAGTTGAAGCCTTGAGGCCTTGCTTTAACTCCACGAGATGCCAGTGTCCTAGTCAAGTCAGCGGCCATCTGAAAGGAGCTAGCACAGCTGAGATGGAAAAAGTGACAGCAGCAGCAGAATGGCCCAACATGAAAGGTTGGATGCCCTGAGCTGCCTGGCTCAGCTCCACCTCCACAGGATAATGGTCACTGATTCTGAGAGCCTGGGGAGGGACAGCAAAATGGAGATGTCAGTGCTTGGGACTGAGGGGCTTTCCTGTCAACTTCCCTCCACAATTCTGCCCTTAGACATTGTGTAACCCTTGTGCCAACCCAACTTCTCTACCTCTTCCTCAGTCAGTTGAAAGCTCCTGGGGAAGTTGAAGGGGGCTGCAGCCTTCAGCAGTGTCTGACAGCCCTGCCCATGCATCACAATTCGGTCATAGGTACAGTTGGTGCTGGCCCTCACTGTAGTGTCCTCACCATCAGAAATCACCCAGTGGAAGCCTGCTTTAGTCCGTAGTAGCAGGCTGTTGAGACGCTTTTTAGTCAGTGATGCACAGTCAGCATTGAAGTCCCCAAGCAGGATCACATCCTAAAGATGAAAACAAGCAGTTGGGCTTTGCCACAGGAAAGTCCCACCATCCCCTCTTCTGTGCATGCTATCACCCCTACCTCATTTTGCCAGCGTTGGGAGACATCCAGAAACACATCATATAGGGCATTCAGCTCCTTCTCTACATCCTTAGGAGTAGTGTGGAGTGGAACCAGAACCACATTTGGAAGAACTGCAAAGCCCAGGAAGCTAAGGCTGCCACAGCTGCCGGCCTTTCTCACACACATCCACTTCTGTTTCCCCTTAGGAACAAACCCACAGGAGAGCCAGCCACACCCCCTCCTGTTTCCATGTACCAGGCCCACCTTTCCCTCTTACTTTTGCTAGGGAGAGTAAACTGGGCCACAAATGGTTCTCTGGCGAAAACATCATCTGTGTCATTGTACTGGTAAGAACTCAAGACCTGTGTCTTGTCAGACCTGGGAAAACCAAGGGGTGGGAAGTAGTGGCCCCACATCTTACGCAAAACAGCAAAGCTTGTCAAGGAGGAACACTCTTGGTTCCTTGTTCTGCCAGTTTCATGTGGGCACAACCTTTTTTTTCTAGAACTTCTGTTTTTTTTTCTTTTTTAAAAATTTATTTTTTAGGCAGGATCTCTATTATGTAGTCCCAGCTGTCCTGGAACTCTAGATCAGGCTGACCTTGAATTTACAGAGATCCATCTACCTCTGAGTGCTGGGATTAAAGGTGTGTGCCACCACTTCTAGCTTAGAGTTTCTCTTTTTATCTCCGGGGATAAATGTGTACCCTGCCACTGAGTTATGCCTCCGGCTCCCTGGAACTGTTTTTAAGATTTATTTTTATTTAATGTGTATGAGTGTTTTGCTTGCATGTATGTTTGTGCACCATGGGTCTGCAGAGACCATAATAAGATGTCCCATCCCCTGGAACTGAAGTTAATGATGGTTGTGTGCTATTGTGTGAGTGTTGGGAATAAAACTATAGTCTTCTGAAAGAGCAGCAAATGCTCTTAAACCACTGAACCATCTCTCCAGCTCTACCTAGAACTTTCATGAGATTTTTTTTTTGAGGTCCATTTTCATTATTGCCCATTTGGTCTTGAAATCATGGACTCAAGCTAATCTTCTAATTTAGCCTCTTGAATAGGCTAGCTGGGTCTTCAGACCACCAGAACCAGCTAGAATTGTCTTTATGAAGATAGAATTAAACCCCTGTACTCACCGGTAGATATACACATACTTCTCTTTGTATGTGCTACGCCCCAGCAGGGAGCTGTTTAGGAAGCTGTAACTCCTGGAACCCTCAAATCTGCCAGAATAAGAACCCAGAGTTAGGGCCCTTGAGGTTCTAGGTGGAACCCCGATTAGATTAACAGGACCCTTCTTTTTTAATTAATTTATTTTATTAGGTGGAGGGTTCTGCCCACATACATGTATGCCTTCATGACAGACTAGGGCACCAGATGTCATTGTAGATGCTTGTGAGCCACCATGTGGTTGTTGGGAATTGGTTGCTGGGAACTGAACTCAGGACCTCTGGAAGAGCAGCCAGTGCTCTTAACCTCTGAGCTATGTCTCCAGCCAGACAGGACCCTTCTTTACCTATTAAGTTCTTGAAGCAGAAGGGAGACTGTTTTCTGGGAAGAATCCACCACCTCCTGAAGAACCGTGATATCACATCGGGCCAGGATCTGCAGGGAATGAGGGTACCAACCCAATTAATATATAAAAGCCAGGGTAGCAGAAGACAGAAGGACTAGGAGGAACCCAGAAAAACAAAGAGCATCATTCCATTATACCGTCCTCTTTAGAGGAAGAGATTGGTAATTAAATGATAGTTGAAAGGCACTTTTCACATCTGTGTACTCACATTTCCTGATGCCCCCTCCTTTTTAGTGCATGTCCCTGGTCAGGCAGAGCTGAGGGCTTTTGGTCAAGGTCCTTAGGGACACAGATTTTTGCAACAATGAACTTAACTTACCTGAACTAAGGTATCCATCACTGACTTCTTGGCCACCTTGGGCTGTGCCAGTCTCTGGGCATTGAAGGCACAGATACGAAAGGCTTCAGCCCCACCAGCCAGAAGGATGAGCACGAGAGACAAAACAAGGCCATGCATGGCCATATGTGGCATCAGGAGCCTTCCAAAGGAATCCAGGTTGTCCAGAGTGCATTGGCACTGTAGCTGATCTCAGCTAATTGGTGCTCTTCCTGCTACTAGCCCTGAATGTTTCTTGCATCTCTTCCTGGGAAGTGTTTCAACTTCTGTATACTAGGCTTGACCACCTGATAAGATACGTGTGGTATGGCATAAAATTTTCTAGGCATAGTAGAGAAGCACTGTCATTTAGCAATTCTCCAGTCCTGAGACCCTGTCTTTCAAAAAACAAAAACAAGTCTAGGTGTGGTGGCATACTCCTATAATTCCAGCATCTGGGAAATGAAGGTAAGAAGATCATAATTTTGAGGCCAACTTGAGTTACATAATGATACTCTGCTTCAAAACACAAGTACAAGTCATGGGCAGTGGTGAAATGCCTTTAATTCCAACATTCAGGAAGCAGAGGTAGGCATATCTCTGTGAGTTTGAGGCTAATCTGGTCTACAAGAGCTAGCTCCAGGACAGGCTCCAAAAAAAGTTACAAAGAAACCCTGTCTGAAAAAAAAATGCAAACCATAAGCATAGCCACCATAACCAAGGCCTATCCTCGGGATCTGAAGAAATTTATGGACAAGAAATTATCATTGACCAGGGGTGGGTGGGGGAGTGGCACACACCTTTAATCCCAGCACTTGGAAGACAGAGACAGGCAGATCTCTGTGAGTTTGAGGCCAGCCTGGTCTACAGAGCGAATACAAAAAGGAGCTGGAAAGCCGGGTGGTGGTGGTGGTGGTGGCACATGCCTTTAACCCCAGCACCTGGGAGGCAGAAGCAGGTGGATCTCTGTGAGTTCGAAGCCAGCCTGGTCTACAGAGCTAGTTTCAGGAGAGGCCCCAAAGCTACAGAAAAACCCTGTCTCGAAAAACCAAATAAATAAAATGCAAAGAGGGGGAGGGGCTGGAGAGATGGCTCAGCAGTTAAGAACACTAGCTGCTCTTCCAGAGGTTCCAGGTTAAATTCCCAGCACCCACATGGCAGCTCACAACTGTCTGTAACTCCAGTGCCAGGGAATCTGATACCCTCACACCAATGCACATAAAATAAAGTTAAATAAATTAAAAAAAACAAAAAATAATTATTGAAGTTAAATAGTGACAGATATGTACAAGGAATCAAGCCTTTTAAAGACTCAGTCTAGTACCTAAGACACAAGCACAGTGTACTGTCACCAGCCTACATATGCAGAGTTTCTTCATCTTCTCTAGTTGAAATTGTGTACTCAGTAAGTATAACTTCTTTGCCAAAACTGAGGCCAGGAATTCGCAGAGGGTCAGCACAACAGCAAAGTTTATCTGTCTCTATGTTTGTCTTTAATCCTTTTTTTTTGTTTTTTTGTTTGTTTTCAGACAGGGTTTCTCTGTAGCTTTGGAGTCTGTCCTGGAACTAGTTCTGTAGACCAGGCTGGCCTTGAACTCATAGAGATCTGTCTGCCTCTGCCTCCCGAGTGGAGTGCTGGAATTAAAAGTGTGCGCCACCACTACCTGGCCCCATCTTCCTTATTAAGGATAGTTAACATTTCAGTCTATGCTTAGACACACTTTGTCCATCAGCATTGAGATACATCCACTATTTGGATTATTCTATTTATTTGTTTGTTTGTTTATTTGTTTACTTTTTTTTGAGACAGGGTCTCTCTGTGTAGTCTTGGCTGTCCTGGAACTCACTCTGTAGAGCAGACCTGCCTCTACCTCCCAAGTGCTGGGATTAAAGTTGTGCACCACCACTGCCTGGCTCTTATTTAATTTTTTTTTTAAATTTTTTATGATTTATTTATCTTTTATTTTATGTGCATTGGTGTGAAGGTGTCAGATCCCCTGGAACTGGATCTTCAGACAGTTGTGAGCTGCCATGTGGGTGCTGGGAATTGAACCCGGGTCCTCTGGAAGAGCAGTCAGTGCTCTTAACCACTGAGCCATTTCTCCAGCCCTTATTTAATTTTTTTATGTGTGGTACTGGGGATTGAAGATGGGGCCTTTCCCAGGCTAAGGAAGTGCTCTACCATCGAGCTATATCTCTAACCTTGTAGTGTTTTGCTTCTTTGCCTGTTTTGTTGTTGTTGTTGTTGTTGTTGTTGTTTTTGTTTTTGACAGGGTTTCTCTGTATTTTTTTTGGAGCCTGTCCTGGAGCTAGCTCTTGTAGACCAGGCTGGCCTCGAACTCACAGATCTACCTGCCTCTGCCTCCTGAGTGCTGGGATTAAAGGCATGTACCACCACTACCTGGCATGTTTTTTTTTTTTTGTGGCAAGCTGACTTCAAACTTCTGATTCTCCTGCCTCTACCTCCCCCACACTGGAATTACAGGTGTATACCACCAAGCTTGGCTTGTGTAGTGCTGGGGATAGAACCCAGGGCCTCAAATGTTGGCTTTGTAGGGAAGGCTATACTATGTTAAGTCTCATAACTAGCCAAACACTGTATTATATGGTTATTATATGATCCTCCAGCTCAGCCCCCCCCCTTTTTTGTTTTTTTGAGGCAGGGTTTCTTTGTGTATACCTAGGTAACCTGGAACTCCTCTGTAGACCAGGCTGGCCTTTGAATTTACAGAGATCCACCTGCAGCTGCCTCCCAAGTGCTGGGATTAAAGGTGTGCACCACCACCATCCAGCTCCAGCTCAGCCATTTTGAGTAAAGCAAGCACCTCAATTTCCTGATATAGAACTGCTGATTCATATGATAGTTTTATTTTTAATTTTTAAGGAACACCAAACTGCTCTCTATTGCTGTTGTGACATTTTACATACCCACTAACAGTGCATAAGGGTTTGATCTCATTCTTTTAACCTACTTCCTCAAAATGTCGAGAAGCAGCTGGGCAGTGGTGGCGCATGCCTTTAATACCAACACTCAGGAGATAGAGGCAGGAGGATTTCTGAGTTCTAGGCCAACCTGGTCTAAAGAATGAGTTCTAGGCAACCAGGGATACACAGAGAAACCCTGTCTCAAAATATAAACAAGCAAACAAACTGTTGTGTACCATTTTCCACATAGGCCCACTTCCTAGCTAGGGCAGAGATAGTCCCAGATTCAGGAAGGTCCAGTTTATTCTATCCATATTAGAAAATCAAACATGAACCTCTTCAGGCATTTTTCTTCTTCTTAACCTTTTTTCTTTTTTAAAAATATTTATTTGTATGTGTTTGTGTATGTTTGCATGTATACGTGCATCTATGTGGAGTTCTGGTTTTTTACTTACAGCACGTGAGTTCCAGGAATCAAACTCAGGCTATCAACTTTAACAGCAATTTTTTTTTTCAAGACAGGGTTTCTCTGTAGCTTTGGATCCTGTCCTGGAACCAGCTCTTGTAGACCAGGGTGGCCTCGAACTCACAGAGATCCACCTGTCTCTGCCTCCGAGTGCTGGGGTTAAAGGCCTGTGCCACCACCGCCCAGGGACAGCAAATGTTCTTATCTGCTGAGCCATTATACCAGTCATCTCCCTCTTTCTATTTATAACATGTTATGTGCTTTCCTTTTACTCTTTTTTTTCCCATTCTCTTGGTTCATATACAGGTCTCAATTTATAACCAAGGCTGACCTGTAACTCACTATGTAGTCCCAGGCTGGCTTCAACTTTACTGGGTGCTACTGGTGCCCCTTTTTGAGCATGTCTCTGGTTTATCTTTGTCTCAGGTTCACCTCTGTCTTATCATATCTTTTGGGCTCAGCCCTTTACTGTACTGTCCATGTCACATTCTGAAACACGAGGCCCTCTGCTTCTGTCTGCTTGCTTTTCTCAGTCACCCTGTCACTTTCTCCTTTCTGTTAGTTTCATTCTATCTGTCTTGTTCTATCTTCCCGGTTCTGCCCATCTCAGTGTTTCTATTAGTGTTTTCTTGCCTAGCCTTGATATTTGTTTCTCTCTGGCCATCTGCTCTGTCACTCACGCTTATTTTTGTCTCTTTGCACTGGTGACTATTCTGTGATACATGTGAGCATTGGTGCAGCTTTGAACTGACCAAGCTACATCTGAAGACTGAGACCACTAGGACTCTTGGAAAGAATCTCAAAGAATGGCTGTATCTGGCCCCAGCCCAATCCCCATCCTAGTCTTCCAAGACCAGCCTTAGTTCTAGATCAAAGCTCCCTTCCCCTCTTAAGCCCCTCCCCCAGGTAGTAGAGCAACCTCCTCCTTTTCCCTAGCCCTTAGGATTTTCATACCTCGGCAGACCAACTTGGCCCCACGCCTGCCTCAGCCTTGAACCGATTGAAACACTCGACAGAATCGCAGCGCCAGCCAGGTTACGGACTTGGGGTGGAGAGAAGAGGAAGCCTGCTTTCAGACCCACCCAAAAGCCGGCCCCACAACCAACTCTCTAGTCCCCACAAGCAGGGCTGGTCTCCGCCTCTCCGTCCAGGAGGCGGTGCCTGGGAACTGGTCCGGCCTGTCCTCCCCGCCCAAGATGGGTGGTGCCTGTTCTGAGCAGACAGCACGTTGGGGACCTAAGGGTGGTTGCTGCCACTTGCGCCATCATCCATCGTTGAGCAGTTACCTGAACCTAGGGACCAAGGAGGTTTGCTCGCTCATTCTCTGGTCCTTCACCGCAGCGGGGAGCGAAGCAGTCTTCTTTCTCTCTAGGTACTTAGGCCTTCCTAAATTATATTTGTCAGAAAACCCAAAGCAATGAACCTTCTGCACAGGATAGGCAGCGCGACTGGCTACTGAGTCCTTTCAAGTCCCCGTTGGATGACTATGGAGTTTGAAAAAACGTCCCATAGGAGGTCGGGCGGTGGTGGTACATGCCTTTAATCCCAGCATTCTGGAGGAAGATGGGTCTCTGTGAGTTCGAGGCCAACCTGGTGTGAGTTCCAGGACAGGCTCCAAAGAAAGAGAAACCTGTCTCGAAAAACCAAAACCAAAAACATTTCTCATGGGCAGAAATTTGTTACTTTTGCTTCCACATGAACGCTAGGCAAGTACTCTATCATGGAAATAATCACACCCAACCCTCCACCCCCCAGCTCACTGGGGCAAATACTACAGTACTGTCAATAAAACTGAATTTTAAAACAATACCAGGATGTAGTAGGTGGCATATGCTTTTAGAGTTTGGGGTTAGCCTGGTCTATATATTAAGTTCCAGACTAGCCAGGGATCACAGTAAATCCCCCCCCCAAAAAAAATCCTCTTGTGATGCCCACAGAATTTGAGGGACAGAGGCAGGAGGATTGCTGTGACTTGAAAGCAAGTTTGAAGTTAATGTGGGCTACATGAGACTATATCTTTAAATGGAGGGGGCAGAATAAAAGGGCATCTCTGAGGCTTCCTGGACGCCAACCTGGTGGAAAACGTGACTCCAGGCTCAAGAACAGACCTGGCTTCGAAAGTAGTAAGGCACAGAATGATGGTCGCAGACGCTCAATGCCCTTTTGCCTCTGCGGATAATCCGATTCACACGGGGTGGGGGAGGGAGAGATAATAAGTAAGAGTTCCACCAGCCTAGGCCTTGAGTGGCTTCAGATACTGGTGCTGCGCAGCTCTCGTCACCTACAGACACTAGAATTAAGGCATCAAAGAGACGCGTAGTTTCTGGCGGTATCTAATCAAGATTCTGACGGGGAAGAGGGCGGGGCGAGGATAGCGTAGACCTGCCCCCGGCAGCCGTCAAGCAACCTAGGCCTGTTTTACGACAACAAGCGTTCCCGGCTCGCTTTCCGGCAGGTCCGTGGAGTCTGAGGCCGCCAAGGCTAGATCTGGTAGTATGTGTGGCTCCCCACAGCAATTCTGTCTCTTGGCCTGAGCAGCAGCTCTTTTCTGTCCGGAGAGCGGCACTAGGGAGGCTCTGAGCTGCCTCACGAAGTGACCTTAGTTTAGCCCCCTGCTAGTTTGTCGGAGATCCCTCTCCTGAGCGTTGGGAAGGGCACGGGCTGGCCCGGGGCAGGAGGAGCTCCGGGCTGCGGAGTCAGGACCGGAGGATATGCCCCTCCACGTGAAGTGGCCGTTCCCCGCGGTGCCTCGGCTCACCTGGACGATAGCCAGCAGCGTCGTCATGGGCCTGGTGGGCACCTACAGCTGCTTCTGGACCAGTGAGTGGCCAAAGGCCAAGGGAGAGTCACAGGCCCCTAACCTGGCCAGAGTTGGAATTTGGTTTGGGTACTGGGGATGTGGCAGGGTCTCTTCTAGCACAGTAAGAATTCTCGGGCAGGTGAAGATGAGCAAGAGCTTGAGACTGACTTCTCTTCCCAGAGTACATGAACCAACTCACCGTGCACAACAAGGAAGTGCTGTATGAGCTCATTGAGAACCGAGACCCTGCCACCCCCCTCATCACGGTCTCCAACCACCAGTCCTGCATGGATGACCCTCATCTCTGGGGTACTGTACCAGTGTGCTTGGGTTCAAGTATGCAAAACAGGAACAGGCCCCAACCAAAGACAGAATAGATTCGCTTCTCACCAGGCTCTTTGGGAAACCATGGAATTGTTTGTGGGATATACTGCCTAGTTGCTGTGTTCCCCTTAGGATTGCTCCAGGGAATGTTATTTGGACAGGATATCAGAAATTTAAAAGGAATATGGAAGTAGTCATGTCACATCAAGGGCTTTCCTTTTTCTTAGGGATCCTGAAACTCCGCCACATCTGGAACCTGAAGTTGATGCGTTGGTGAGGAGCAATAGACCCCTTGAAGTGGCCCATCCATTTCTGCCCAGATTTGCCTTCCTTCTCTGCTCAGGAGGTGGCATCCAGCAGTCCAGGAAGGGCATGTGTGGGGCCCCACAGGCCCTTCTCTTGAGCTTCATTCTGCATGACAGTGATGGCAGGCATTGTACTGGGTGGGGAGAGTTGGGGACAAAGACTAGAAGTTTTGAAGGTAGGGATGACTGGGTCTATTGCTGCTCTAGGACCCCAGCAGCTGCAGACATCTGTTTCACCAAGGAGCTGCACTCCCATTTCTTCAGCTTGGGCAAATGTGTGCCTGTATGTCGAGGTGAGCTGCTCCTCTGGTAGGCATGTCCAGGCCTCCTTTGGGGGTAAGGAAGCTGGTGGTCAGTGTCTCTGTCTTAGAAGGACTCAGGGAAGCCATGGCATGACAGTATAGGTGACAGAGGGTAGGAATAATGACCTTTTAGATTCTCTGCTGCTGCTTGAGGATTGTCCAGAATTCTAGCATGAGAATTCAAGGAGCCAGACTGTGGTGGCACACACCTTTAATCCCAGCACTCAGGAGGCAGAGGCAGGCGGATCTCTGTGAGTTCAAGGCCAACCTGGTTTACAAGTGCTAGTTCCAGGACAAGCTCCAAAGCTACAGAGAAACCCTGTCTCGAAAAACCAAGAGAGAGAGAGAGAATTTTATTTGCTGACCCTTCTGTATCTATTACTCCTCTCAGGGAGAATAGTGTGGTGTTATCACTTTATGATGGTAGTGGGGTAATGTATAAAAGCCAGAGGGTTTGTTTCTGGGAGAACAAACAAATTGGTGGGGTGAGGAGCCTTGGATTGAATGATTACTTTCACAAACCCCTAGAAGTTGGGACCATCTTTTATGTTATTTTATTACCTAAAAAAATACCAATCCAGATTCCCACTCCCTCCCACTTCCTCCATACACCCTCCCACCCCACCCCCTCCAACCCTAAGAGAGGGCCAGGCACCCTGCCCTGTGTAAAGTCCAAGGGCCTGCTTACTACATCTATGTTGAGCAAAATATACATACATCCAAAGAGAATAGGATCCCAAGAAGCCAGTACATACAGTAGAGACAAATCCCAGTGTCATTATCAGTGCCCTCTCAGTCTGCCAGTTGGGGCCATCTTGATCCCCATTTTCCAGATAGAACTCAGAAGTCATGACCTTGGACAAATTTAGGATTCAAATCCACATTTCCTTTTCCTCTGGGGAAGCAGATTTCTTTTCAATGAAATAATGAAAGAAAAAGTCTAAAAATGGGCAAATAAGCCAGTGGTAGAGGCACACACCTTAATCCCAGCACTCGGGAGGCAGAGGCAATTGGATCTCTGAGATTGAGGCCTACCTGATCTACAAAGCAAGTTCCAGTACAGCAATGGCTACAGAGAGAAATTTTGTCTCGAAAACCAAAACAAAACAAAAATACCAAAAGTGGGGGGCATGTGCCAGGTGCCACAGAAGAGAAAAGAAAGGTAGAAAATATCTGAAGGGATGGAAGTTTCTATTTCCTTCTTTCTAAGTGTTCCAGCAGAGACTACATCATCTTGCTGAATGATAGTGGCATTTTCTCCCAGGTCCTGCTCTGATAATGTCAGTATTCTGATAATTTACACCTGTCCCTGACTCTAAGCTCCTCTTCTGCAATCTCAGAAGTCTTGTATGTATGTGTCTTGTTTTCATTATTTTTCTTTTGTTTTCAGTTTGGGGGACAGAACACAGAGACTTGTGCATTCTAGGCATATACTCTACCTCTGAGTTATATTCCCAGTTTTGTTCATTCTTTTTGATCTTTACCTAGATTTTATTTCAGTTAAAAACAGGATCTGAGATGGGCATGATTGCATGTGTCTGTAATCCCATTCCATCACTCTGTAAGCAGGAACAGGGACATGAGGATTGCTGTGACTTTGAGGCCACCCTGGTCTACACAGCAAGTTCCAGACTAACCAGGACTACAGAACTACTTGGTGATTCCTTATCTTTAAAAAAAAAAAAGCTAGGCATGGTGGTGCACACCTTTAATCCCAGCACTCAGAGGTCAGAGGCAGATGAATCTCTGAGTTTGAGGCTACCCTGGTCAACAGAGCTAGTTCCAAAACAGCCAGGGCTAAGAAGAGAATCCCTATCTTAAACAAAAAAGCTAGGTATGGTGGCCTATACCTGTATTCCCTGTATTTGGGAGGTTGAAGTAGGTGATTTACCATGTATTTGAGGCCGGCTTGAACTGGAGACAGAGACCCTGTCTCAAAAAAAAAAGCCCATGTGCACACACAAGTGTGTGTGTATACAACTGTGTGCCTATACACACACAAACACATACAGAAAAATTGAGGACTAGAGGTGTGGCTCATTGGTACAGTTTGTGTCTTTCTGACACAGAGCCCTGAGTTGTATTCCTAGAACTGTAAAAAAATATAAAACAAAAGATAGAAAATGAAACATTAATTTCAAGGACAGCAAAGATCTAATTACATGTGACTGAAACAGTTTGCAGTACAGTTTCTATGTTAAACCATTTTCCTCTAAGATTTTGTAGGTTGACCTTTAAGCACTGAAGAAGTGATTTTAAACAAGTAGAAATAGCATTTGCAAAAGCTAAAAAGTGTAAACCTGTTCCAAAGGCATCTTATCCTTTTTACTTCCCCATTTCAAGCTCAGAGTGGTTTTTGCTAGAGGAGCAAACACCTTTAGTTACTACTCTTGCTCTGTGTACTGCCATCTCAAATAGGGAACCT